AAACAGATAAAGCTAAGTTAAGTAAATGTTATTTTATTTTACTCACAAAGAGAGTCAAGAAATAGGGTAATGGTTTGATATGATAAAGAAATGAATGAAACTATTAGAAGGAAATTATTCAATTAATTTTAAGCTTGATGGCGAAACTCTGGAAGACGTAGAATCCATCACATACCTGGGAAGCATCATCGATGAACAAGGAGGTTCAGATGTAGACGTAAAGGCGAGAATTGGTAAAGCAAGGGCCACATTTCTTCAATCGAAGAACATATGGAACTCAAAACAACTTTCAACCAATACCAAAGTCAGAATCTTCAATGCGAACATCAAGGCAGTTTTACTGTACGGAGCTGAAACTTGGAGAACTACAACAACCACCATCAAGAAGGTACAAGTATTTATCAATAGCTGTCTACGCAAGATACTCAACATCCATTGGCCGGATACCATCAGCAACAGCCTTTTGTGGAAGAGAACCAACCAGCTTCCAGCCGAAGAGGAAATTAGGAAAAGACGATAGAAACGGATAGGACATACATTACGCAAACTGCATCGCGATACAAGCCATAACTTGGAATCCTGATGGAAAACGAAAAGCAGGAAGGCCAAAGAAGACATTACATTGGGAAATAGAAGCAAATGTGAAAAGGATGAATAACAAGTGGAAAGAGCTGGAAAGGATTGCCCAGGACAGGGTTGGATGGCGAATGATGGTGAGTGGCCTATGCTCCTTCACGAGGAGTAATAGGCGTAAGTAAGTAAGTAATTCTAAGCTACGTTAGTAGTATGTATAGTAATTGATAAAAGAGTTTCTAGCGTTTTTTAGCGAGTTAGTTTTATACGGGATGGGGTTGCTAACCCCTTTCCCAACCCTCCTCCTTTATCGGGACTTGGTAACAGCGGTAGCCCCAGAGGAGCTCCAGGCGGAGTTTAATTGATAAAAATTTACTTTTAAATAAATCATTCTAATTTTTCTGAGGTTTGATGAAAAATTATGATTAGCAATTAACGGTCTACCTTTAATCTGACTAGTTGACCTTTTATTCTTTTAAATATAAATGTTCTTAACAACTATATGTACGATCAGATTGTTCGAAATGTATTGCACAAATATATCACATAATTCTGATAAACTTCGTCTTCTCATTGGATTATCGATATTTGTCAAGGGGACCAATTGTTTGAAAATAGCTTTAATAAAGTTTACGAAAATTAGAATTTCATATATTATGTGATTACATATCTTTAAACAACCTTAAATTACGTGTCCTTTTAAAAATTCTTAAAAATTTACTATTATTATGTACTGACTAATTCAGTTCAATTTTGAAGGTGAATACTTTCGTCAGATTGATGGAGTTGCTATGGGTAGTTCGTTAAGACCATTATTAGCAGATTTGTTCATGGCACATTTTGAAAATCTGGTTGATGACCTAATTGAAAACATGTCACTTTATGAGAGATATGTGGACGATATCTTAGTTGTTTGTGAAAGAAATGGGGATATGTACTATTTATTGAATAAATTTAACACTCTCCAAAACCATATCAGTCTCTCATGTGAAGAGGAGAAGAACGATCAGCTTCCCTTTCTAGATATACTTCTGAGTAGACGAGAAGATGGCTCAGTCAAACGATCCATTTCCAGAAAACTAACGTGGACAGGTCAATACCTTAGTTATTATAGTTATTGCCCTGTGCAATACAAACGTGCTTTGATAAGGTGCCTATTCAGCAGGCTTGGTTGTATTTGTACAAATGACGCCATTGATGATGTTAAGTTGCTAAATAAGGCACTAATGGAAAACGGCTATCCTCTGAAATTCATAAATAGATGGAAAGTCTATGGTACATGAGATCTACTGTAGCCTTGGTAGAAAAAAGCCTGTCTACATCACCTTACCATTCAGGAGTGATTCAAATAGCCTTTTATTGAAACGAAGGCTTAAATCAGTCATTAACAAAACATATTGCGCAGCAAACGTCATTATCAAAGAAAGAACAAGGCTCATGCTTCATCCAAAACCTAAAAGACATGAAACGATTGTGTCACATCCCACTGTGTTTACCAAATTTAAATGTGTGTGTAGTCACACATAAATAGGGAGGAGCAATCATGATCTCAAAATTAGGGTATCTGAACATGTACCTAAGTAGTTGCAGAAACAAATAAAATCAAATTACTCAATAAGAGTAGAGGATAAACATCCATCATTCTCTACTGCCAAACATATAATTCAAACAGGTCATAAGATTGATCTTAACTCAGCTTTTGTGGTGTTGTATAAAAGTATAATTGGGCGTATACTAAGGTTTATTGAAGCCTTCGCCATACGAAATTTAAAATCCCCTTTATGTATTCAAAAACAGTTTGTTTTCACCTTAAACCTACCCCGGTAATATTGATTTATTATCCAAAGTGATTAGGTTTCAAATTGTGTTCACTTTATTATTATTACTCTCCTCTTAACCTCCATTTCTAGACTAATTGATACTTTATCTTTTTATATATAAATGTTCCTAAAAAGTGTATTATGTGTGATAAGATTGTTCGAAATATATTATCTAAACCGTACTCGGTTCGAGTACCAGAGTGAACATCAACTCTGAGATGCAGTTACATCCAGCTGACTAGTCCCAAATAGGATGAAACGTGCGTCCTGGATTCCATTGCTAGCCACTATCATCATATAGTTCTGATAAACTTCGTCTTCTTATTACATTATCGAAATTAGAATTTAGTTATTTACTAATCATGTTAAATGATCTCATAATATTTACATGATGTTTTATGTTCTAAAGATATTTAGGAATTGTGTTATTCAATATGTTTAAGTTTCTTCAGTGTAGATGCTATGGAACATCTTTAATAAATGTTAATTAAACCCTTCTTTCTATTTATTCTTTATTCAGTTTACAGGAAACTGAGTTGATTTATTTTTTGATTGATATCATGAACCGATTGATGTTAGACCACCGTTGGAAACCTGGAAGGACTGGACGACCGTTTTGTCCTATTGTGGGACTCAGCACTGCGCATCCATGATCCCGCTCGCGGGATTCGAACCCAGGGTCTTCAGTCTTGCGCGTGAACGCTTGGCCTACTGGACCACTGATCCGGCATTCAATGGTGTTAATGTCTAACCTCAACCAATCCACGAAATTGCACGACCATCTTCCATTGTACTGATGTAGATACCTGTCTCTACCCGACACGAATTAGCTCTACTGGTCATCAATCGGATCATGATCTCAATCAAAAACTTAACAATCTCCACAACCCCTAAACTGATGATTTAATTTTACTGTGTCATTTAATGGTTCCTAATAGTATAACTCAATCTTTAGACGTTTGATTTTTTTTGTAAAGTTAAATCATTTCACTTATATAAAACTATGAAGCTGGTTTATCTAAGAGTGTAATTGTTTTTTCTAATCATACTTTGATCATGATATGCATTAGTAGATAAGCTATGTGAATTCATCCATTGTTTGATGCAAATAACAAGTCTTATCCATAATCATAAAATTGATTTTTTGAATTATAACTGAATTTTTCCATAGTGTTTGATCGTTTTTCAGTTTAATGTCAATTGTGAATTAACAACGTTTCATTTATTTTTTCAATATGATAGAAATCAGCAACAAAAGCCAGAATGTATTAATTAATAACGACTTAATATTGTAAATTGAAATTTCGGTCAACGATTCAGCTACCTATTTAAATAACTTACTTACGCCTGTTACTCCCAATGGATTATAGGCCACCGACCAGCATTCGCCAACCCACGCTGTACTGGGCTAATAACCTCTTTACCTTTGGCCTTGAGGATTCCATGTGAGGGATTGTCTTGTGACACAGTTGGGTGCTTTCCTCAATATATGTCCTATCCACTTCCAACGCTTCTTCCTGATTTATTCCTCCTTCCTCCATAGGGATCTGGTTTGTTCTCTCCCATGGTAGGTTGTTGCTGATAGTGTCTGATCAACGGATCCGAAGTATTTTGCATAGACAACTGTTAATAAACACTTGTATCTTCTGGATGATGGATTTCGTGGTTCTCCAGGTTTTCGCCAAATACAGTAGAACTGTCTTGACATTTGTATTGAAAATTCTGACTTTGGTGTTGGTTGACAGACTGTTGTTTTGAATTCCAGATGTTCTTCAGTTGTAAATATGCTGCTCTTGCTTTGCTGATGCTATTTAAATAAGCTACTGATTAAAATCTGAAAACCAAATAACTCTTATTTTTGTTGGCTTTTACCTTCTTGGAAAAACGTTTTTCTTTTGAGCTCGATAAATGCTCCATTGGGAGTAACAGTTATAAGTAAGTAAGTAAATATGTTATGTATTACTTGGATTTATTTGATGAATTGCCTTTGAAATTACTATGAAAATTAATGATCAAGTTGACTATGATTCAAATTTCTATAATGAACATAACTTGATATTAATATTCACAATTTACACTCTAGTATTTGGTATCTTACAATGAAAATAAGCTGTAAAACACATATACAGAATAATCAACAAAGCTTAACATTAAACTAGATTAGTAATCTGTAACGCAATTTATAAATTAAGTTAGGGTGGGATCAAGCTAGAGATTTTTAATTGATTAAGTATAATAATCATCATTTGTTCGTACTGCTTAAATTATGTATGATACGTATAGATTAATTATTTAATAGTAGAAAATTTTCTATATAAATGATCATGTTTTACTAAAATGATTGTACTATTGTTTTTGGTAGATGAATACAAATTTCGTCTGACATCGCTTTTTATCTTCTTCTATACATCATGTGAATCTCCGTCTTTTTTTTGTTTCTGGTTTAATTTGCAGTTATAACAAATCTATTCAGATTTTCTTTTCAAAGAATAAGAAATTACATTTATCGTTAGTTATGATCGGAAGAAATAATCACTTTTATACATCATACAAATATTACAATTAGATTGCTCAAAGTTTTTTAAAAGTCGTTTCATTTGATGATCCATAAAAACAGATCGATTTCAATTCTATCGACTATGTGGCTTATCCGCGTAACATAGAATCTTTTGGCATTGATGTGAACTAAACTTCTCAAATGTTTAGCACAAGTACAGGGAATGAAGTCTGTCCTTTGATATACGGAACTAGTTGACCGAATTATGGAAACCAAATAGTCGAAAAAGCCACTTCTTATGTCTACCGGAGTGTGGTGCTTGAAAAGCGAAGAATATTGTGTGGTGGTCGGTGTTCGATATATTCCTTAAACTCCGTATACAGTTCGTCTCGGTAACCGTCACCAAATAATGCTCCAACGGTATGTTAATCAGAAGGCGAATACGAAGCGTTAATTACGTTTATTAAGAGACCACACACAGATATCCAAAATTACAGATGCGTTAAGCAAGCATGAAATAGTTGTGCCGAAAGGCAAACAGGCAAGCGAGCGGGCGAGAGAGAGCAAGGGCAAGAGCGAGCGATCGAGCGAGCGATCGAGCGAGCGATCGAGCGAGCGAGTCGTGAATATGAATAACATGGACATATATATACATAGTGAAATTAATGAATCATCAAGTCAATTAAGCGGTTAATAGTAAAGCTAGTAGAGTGAATAAATGCGTAGGCAGTAAGGCTTGCCGAGCATACATATTCATACAAGGATAACAATAATAAAGGTACATACATTCGCAACAGTAATAAGGATACAATAAGTTATTATAGTGCAGGTGACTTTGTCCGTTTAATAAAGTTAATAAAAAGGCTTAACCGAATTAGGTGAGAGCAAACTCAATTGAATGTGAGTTGCTATAATAGCTCCTCCCAGCAAACAAAGATACAAAAGTGTCTGTGTTTGCGAAAAAAAATGTCAAATTTAAAAAGATGGGAAATATCGAAATTTACGAAATTAAGATATATGATAGAACTATCGTATATGTTATTAAAAATATGTGTAAGTTTGAGTTTGTATATGTCCGTGAGGCCAAATAAGATCATAACGGAAGATCAGAAGAATACATAAAATATGTTGAATATAATAATAGATAAGCTAAAATTTTCGATTTGTACATAGAAAATGAAGATTAAATTTACATTCGAAGAAGTGAAAGAAATTATCAATTCAAAATCTTAGCTATGTATCGTTGCGGCCATCTCACTCTTCGGCCATATCTCGTCGTTACTGGATTTTCTTCGTTTGTGTTGGTCGATGTCGTTGATGATTGGGACTCGCGTTTCGGTGGTTCGACAGTTTTCGCAGTACCTGTATATATTGGCTGATCGTCGGTTTCGATGAAAGCTGGTTTGACTCTGTCGATGCTAATTACATCCGTTTTTCCAGCTTTTTCTATCGTAATAGTTTTATCGTTTCTTTTAATCCCCTTGAATGGACCATCGTAGGCCGGTTGTAAGGGACGCTGCACATTATCCCTTCTGATAAACACATGGGTACTATCGGTCAGTCGTTTTGGCATGTAGACACGATGTTGCTGTTGCCTCGGAAGCGTTATCCTCAGATCACCCATATGTTGCTTTAGACGTTGTACATAGTTGGCTATATGCAACGGGGATGCCCAGGGACTATTAGACGGTCTTACGATACCAAGCTTCATCAATTTTTCGAACTCTCGTTTCGCAATCTTCAACCTATTTGGGTCTAGCCTCCGTGGTCTTGCGTTGGTCGGTGGACCTTTCGTTATAATATGGTGCTGTACAGTGTGTTTAAGATCTCTGTTATCGTATGATGCCCTCGTCAAATCAGTGAACTCATTCAGAAGCGCTCTATATGGCTCGCTTTTGTCTTTTGAGACTACTAAATTCATGGATACGTAATCGGTTGTCACTCCTTTTATCACTACTGAATGGTCTCCGTTCACGAGCCGGTTTCGTCGGGAATCCACTAGTAAGTCGAAATCCTTTAAGAAATCAATACCAATTATAGGTACGGATACATCTGCGATGACGAATTCCCAGCGGAATGAAGTGCTACGACCAAAGTTCAACGTTATTTTACGCTTGCCATATGTTTTTATATCGGATTTATTTGCTGCCTTAAGCGTTAGTGCTGTATTAATATTTCGCGTTTCGTTACTCACTGGAGGCACAACGCTTACTTCTGCTCCAGTGTCCACTAAGAACTGAGCACCTGTTACTCTGTCCTGAACGTAAAACAAACGACTGTTTCTAGGAGCTGTTCTAGTTTTCGCGGCGTTTACCGACAATCGGTGTGATCGTTTGAATTTACACGGTGGTCGGCAGTTTCGAGCTTTGTCGCCAAAAGTTTGATGGTACCAACATATTGTAGGAGCTGAGCGTCTCCTAGAACATGATCGACTTCTATCTCTCGACCTACTTCGCGACCATTTTCTTTGTGTATCGTTCTGATTTAGTTTTGTCAGCTTGTGGCATAAGACTTCTACCTCTTTCTGTAGAGTACTAAGTCTATCATCTACCGTCACGTTGTGTAATGGAGGGCTTGTTTGTTTGGTTCTTTCGTATATTCTATCGGCTATTTTTGCTATGTTGTCTATATCGGCGTCCATATCTCCGACGGCTAGGATCTGCTGTACACTTGACGGAAGTCGCCTAAGCCACAGTTGATAAAACAGGTTATTGTCTATTTGCCTATCGCCCAACAGGCTTTTCATATACGTTTTTAGCTGTGATGGGGTTCTATCTCCCATTTGTACTTGGTTAAGAAGTTGTTCAACAGCTTGTTGATCACTTAGAGAGAGAGTTTTAATTATTACTTGCTTTAGTACATCGTACGGCTTCTCGATGTCTGGTTTCACTAACGCCTCTCGTACGCTATCTGCTACTTCGTCTGGAAGGAGTGTGCTTGTGAGACCGAATTTATCTCTTTGTAAGTGAATGCGGTTAGCCAAAAAATAATTTTCAAGTCTAATGAACCAAAGTTCAGGATCTGTGATCTTAAAAGGAGGAATAGTAACATTCATGGACCTCACGGACGAAATTTGTGGAAGGTCTATTGTGTCGTTATTTAAAGACATGATTATAAAGATCAAAAATTATACGTATATAATGTAAATGTCACGGAGAGAAGTAAATCGATAAAAACAATGATAATACAAAATGGTACAATTAATTACAAGGAACGGACTTACTAAATTGCACCAAAATATCAATTGTTTGTAAAATATCGTTGTTTATTATGAATATTAACGTTATGTTCAATAATGTTTGTGTGATAATGTACGTATAATTAAAATGGTGACATAATAAATCCACAGTAATGATTATAATCCAAATGCTAGCTCGAATTGAAATAAAGTGCGTTGGATTCTCGGAGTTGGATTACGTCGTCGAAGATTGATTCTTGCTCGCACGTTGGGATCACCAATTCTGTGGTGGTCGGTGTTCGATATATTCCTTAAACTCCGTATACAGTTCGTCTCGGTAACCGTCACCAAATAATGCTCCAACGGTATGTTAATCAGAAGGCGAATACGAAGCGTTAATTACGTTTATTAAGAGACCACACACAGATATCCAAAATTACAGATGCGTTAAGCAAGCATGAAATAGTTGTGCCGAAAGGCAAACAGGCAAGCGAGCGGGCGAGAGAGAGCAAGGGCAAGAGCGAGCGATCGAGCGAGCGATCGAGCGAGCGATCGAGCGAGCGAGTCGTGAATATGAATAACATGGACATATATATACATAGTGAAATTAATGAATCATCAAGTCAATTAAGCGGTTAATAGTAAAGCTAGTAGAGTGAATAAATGCGTAGGCAGTAAGGCTTGCCGAGCATACATATTCATACAAGGATAACAATAATAAAGGTACATACATTCGCAACAGTAATAAGGATACAATAAGTTATTATAGTGCAGGTGACTTTGTCCGTTTAATAAAGTTAATAAAAAGGCTTAACCGAATTAGGTGAGAGCAAACTCAATTGAATGTGAGTTGCTATAATTGATATCATTTATTATGTTATATTATTATTGTATTGTTTATTTTTCATTCTCAGGAAATAATAGATATGACCGTGCATGTACCATATAGTGCTTGGAGCGAACAGTGTCGAGCACTACTTGAAGTTCATTCAAAACTAGATGCTCTTTGCGTTTGCGATCATGGAAGTCGTGTACTAGGAAGTGCATTTAAAATTCCAGAATTTGCGGTTAGTTTGACTGGTTTTAATGAATAGCATCTTTTTCAAAAAAATGCATTATCATATATATATATATATATATATATATATATATATATATCGATTAAATGGAGATTTCTTAGTTGAAACTGGAATTGGGTATTTTGCTTATACATAAAACTTGATTCAAAGAAATTGCATGTAAAGTTCGGTTCCACACTCTTCATTTTTATACTACTTGTAAATATTCAGTAACCAGTTGATTTATCGTAATTTCTAAACGTATGGTATATAGTATGTTTATTCATGTGATATTCCAATGTATTCAAATAAACAGATGATATTCACTTTATTTGATCTTTATTTACACTCTTGCGACTCTTTCAATGGTAACCTCAGGTTTTGGTGAATTCCATGAATTTTTATTAAGACACGACAGTTTTCGTTTATTTTTGTCCTTCGTCTCTGATTATTGATAGGCATTACTGGCTTTAGATACATCAACAGTCTGTTACTAGATCTGCCAAAGCCTTTTTCTTTCCATAAATGCATACGCATCAGTCGCTACCGACACCTTCAGATTTGGGGTTATTGTCTAATTTATACATAATTTGTAATAGCAGAACCCTTCTTCATATAAATAGTTGATTTGAACCTCGACTTCATGCGCAACACGGCCATTTGGCTGGGCTCTTCCGTAGAATTCAATTTTTTGAGTTATCATCGTTAACGAGTGGATTTTACTGTGTCAACTTTAAGATCAATTATCTTTCTATATTTCTTGTCATATAAAGAACAGTATTTATCATGTTCGTGTTGTACAAATCCAACTGATCTAAAGTATGTACTACGAATAGTCTTAAGTGCATACTCAAATAAAGATGGTGACTAATGGACACTCAGATATATAACACGAGGTTTTATATATTGCATAAATCTTTAGTGGAAATATGCATTTATTATCTAAAATCTCCCCAATATTGTTTGAATAACAGATTTTGAAAGCCTGTAGGTAAAACTATTGTTGAAACAACCAATTATACGATTTACCTATGAATAATAGTGCGGAATTTTCTGTCGAAAATTGAACTTAACATATGTACTTTTATTGTACAGCTTTACAATGCTTACATTTCATTATCGAGCCGAGTGTTTTGGTTTTTCATATTGAATCCACCTCATCTCATAATTTATACACAGAGAGGTTCAATAAATAGTGAACAAGAATTGTTCTCTTTTTAAATTTATTGAGACCTAAAGTGTGATTCACTAGATTGCAGTTTCGTAACTCAATAGTACGGAGCTAATGACACAACACACAGGCCTTGGACTTGGTTGTATACGGAGTAATAAGTGTTGCTTTTTGAGTAACGACAAACAAAGATAAATAGTAAGACGTTCATCACTTAGTGATCCCTAGTTTCTTAAATGATATTTTTATATATAAATGTTCTAAACAAGTATATGTGTGATCAGATTGTTCGAAATGTATTGCGCTAATATATCACATAGTTCTGATAATCTCCGTCTTCTTATTACATTATCGAAACTTATCAAAGGGACTAATTGCTTTAAATGATATCAGTTAACGAAGACGAAATCGTTTCCCAGATGTACAGAATCTCCATCAAAACAGCTAAACTATTTAAATTTGTTTCGCGTATTGCTAAATATTGAATGTGGATTACTAGATGGTCTAATTTATTTGTCAGTAATATAAAGAATAATGCGGTTGTCTCTATAAGTAGGTTTCTGATTAAATAATGATTGAATTTAAACATTTAAGCTTGGATCCTAAGAGATTATGCTATCTTCTAGTTGCTTTTAAAAGTAATGAACAATAAATGCCGCTTACAGTACACAGAAAGACCTATATGGACAGAGTTTGAGAAACGGTTATAGTTTAATGCATTGTCAAGTCATTTGTTTAACGGTGATGGATACTAAAAACTAGAGCGTACAACTGGTTACCGTTTGAAAATCAATTCTTCTATATCATTCTAAACAGAGAATCGCTTTATTCGTCAAATTAATACAAGATTGATTAGCCTTCCAAGTTGACTGCTACAACTGCTACGCACTACATATAAGAAATACAGTAAAAAAAATTTATACAATATTCATACTTTATGATTGAGATCATGAACCGATTGGTGTTGGACGACCGTTGGAAAAGTGGAAGCACTGGACGTTCGTTTCATTCTATTGTGGGACTCCTCAGCACTGCGCATCCATGATCCCGCGCGCGAAAGCTTAACCTACTGGACCACTGATCCAGCATTCAATGGTGTTAATGTCTAACCTCAACCAAATCCACAAAATTGAACGACCATCTTCCATTGTGCTGATGTAGATACCTGTCTCTAACCGACACGGATTAGCTACACTGGTCATGGCTTCTCACTAGAACTCCAAGAATTCCCTCATGAAGCTAGTCACTAGTAAGCACATGTTAATTATCAGTATAGGGGTTGTGGAGATTATAAGTACTTGATTGAGATCATGAATCGATTGATGTTAGACCACCATGAAAAACCTGGAAAAACCGAACGGCCGTTTCATCCTATTGTGGAACTCCTCAGCAGTGCTCATCTACGACCTTGTTTCGCGAGATTCGAACTCAGTGCTTCCAGGTTTCCCATGGTGGTCTAGTTCCAATTAATTCATGATCTCAATTATTGAAATTATTATATCCACAAAATACCCCTACCGAAGATTTAGTATGTCACATTTCCCCACTTAAATTTCGTTGGAAATGTAAATGTTTATTATAGAAATATTTCATCTGATATTTTGCTAACATTCAGTTTTCTTTATTATATCAGTATCACTTTATTTCTATCGAAATTTAAAATAGTTAATAACTTTCTTTAAAATTAACCTATTCACTTTAGTTGATATCCTCTTTATTATTGGTTTTTAATTATTAGAGTATTACTAATTTGAGTACAAATCAAGTTCGTGCTATACGTTTGGTTATGGCAAAAATTGGTACACAAAAACCAAATATTGATTTTTTAAATGATCGTTTTGTTGTTATTGATGCAAACAATGAAATGTTATCAGCTAAATCTGGTAAAAAAAGTTTATTTGTTGAATTAACTAAAACATGTAAGTTGAAAATATATAATAATTTCATAATTAGATGAAATTTTGTGGAGATTTTAATAATTTCATTAGTTGAGATCATGAGTCAATTGAAGCTAGACCACCATGGAAAACGTGGAAGCTCTGGACGGCCGTTCCGTCCTATTGTGGGACTCCTCAGCAGTGCGCATCCACAATCCCACCTCTCACTAGATTCGCAACAAAGTATCTATCGGCCTCGCTCGCGAGCACTTAACCACTAGACCACTGAGCTAACCGGCATCCAACAGCATTAATGTCTATCTTCAACTGATCCACAAAATTGAACGACACATCCACCATTGTCATCAGTGAGTTACTATCTCACAACAGACCAGGTTGAACTCTACTGATCACTGCTTCTCACTAGAACTCCAGAATATACATAATTATCCTTATTTCTCTTTATTCAAAATAACAGTTTTTATTACATAAATTTTGTTATAACACTTAAAAATTTTGATGTCCAACCATCATAATAGTATCATTTATGTAAATAAAAAATTATGCCTAATATTGATCTTCCGAGGATTATATCATTGTTAACTCCTTTATTCACAATTATTATCTTAGAAATTTATTTGAACTGAGAAGTTTTTTCTGACTAATAAGTACCCTTAAATTGGATTAGATCTCGAGTACATACCGGTTTGCTAATTTATCTTTAAACATTCACCAGTATGTATATGACTAAAAGATAAATATTAAATGCTATTTGATCAAATAATATAGCTCACTGTTAAATGTTACCGACGAAATCCAGTTGATAGCATACGAGAACCAATTTTATTCCCCGATTCTCATTATTAGTTAGTAATTTAGTTTAAAACTCCTCCTGGAGCCCCTCTAGGGGCTACTGCCGGTCCCAAGCCTGGATAAAGGAGGAAGGTTGGGCATGGGGTTAGCGACCCCATCCCGTATAAAACCAACTCGCTAAAAAAACGCTAACTCGAAAGTTATTTCAAATATATAAGCGTTTTCGAAGTTCTGTTAATGCATAATGAAAACTGCAACACAGTAAGGAAGAGATTATGTACATAATTAAAGTTAGAGATGGTTAATCGACCAATTGGACAATAAATGCTTATTGATACTGATGACAGAAAATTATGTAACACATGCACAGCCATTACCTACGTTTGCTTACATATAAGTAATTGGGAAACGTTAGGTAAGGTCAGGGTTTACCGTTGGTTCATTAAATAATTGACCTTTATTGTGAGACACACTGCAGCAAGGCAACTGAAATACTTGGTACTAGTTAAACTGCCATTTTATGTACATGAAATGGAAAATCTGGAATAATAAATGTCAAGTGACTGAGCGCCATTGTCCGCTTTTAAACCGATAGAAATCACTGACTTTTAAAACAGAGGTAAATTATAGCTGAGGAAGGTTGAAAGCAATCTGTTTCCAAACTTGTAAATTGAATTTAAATCTTTTTATAGAGATAATTTTCAATAGAGTGCAATTATTTGAAGTTGTTTAGATATTACTTATTTTGAAAATATTTGAAATTTAGAAACCGTAGCCACTACCGAGGAAATGACATACGATTCCACTTTTGAAAACCTACTATCCTTTAAGTTTTACTATGTTTGGGATGTTTATACATGCAAACAAAGATTCTGTTCACCAGATTTATTTGCTATGATAAATGTATGTAAACTATCAAGTAAAACTGGAAATAAGTAGTCCAAAAATCTGTTTAGTTTTAACTGCCCCAACAAGCAATTTGTTTGATATAGAAGGAAATGTACTTGACATACAAGATTTTGTTTCAATCAATATTTTTTTTAATTTTTTTCATAGTATGTGTATTCGGTTTGTCAATGGATACAGAGACTGAAAATAAGCATGCAACTGCTCTTGAAGCAATGCGAGATATACAAAAGTATTACGAAGATGCAGAATTTTAGCTTATAAATTGATTACTTATTATACATGTACAGTTGACAACTACATATCATTTTTCTCATATTATGATAATTATGAAAGCTTTTTTTCAAAATGTGGATATTGTAAATAAGAATTATTATATTTTTATTTCCACGCTATGTATAAATTTGTTTCTTATTATTTCATAGGAAAAATTCGAAGATAATACATACTGCAAATGAACGAGAATAGAAAACAAAATGAAGAAAACGATTTTCGTCCGGTTGCTCGAATTCAACCGGATTTCTTTTATGCATGTTATGTAGAGAATCTCTTTAGTTTACTTAATCATAGTATGTTGGTCAATATGAGGATATCTAGTCTACACATTGACGACTAGGTTCTTATAATTCATTTTAAAACCCTAGGATTTTTAGCCTTTATACTTTTTGATAAATTTAGCATCATTTAGAGCATATATGACTAGTTTCTTTTTCCAACCCAATTAGTTTGGTTAATGTTTCAGAATATTTGACTGATATAATGATCAAACTGAAGATTTATTTTGTACTGACACCAGGTAATGAACCGTTGGATTAACTGGAATCTTGGTATTAAACCACTATATAAAAAATTAAGTGCTTCCCGGTCGTCGATAGATATAAAAAAATAATCAGTCTACGACAAAAATTATTCTTGAACCGGTTTAGCGTTCATAAACCACTAAAAGTAACTGGTGATCACTCGTGGAAATAAATAACTTCAGAAACACAAGTTCTGTCTTTCTATTTTTCGTAGTATTTTAATTTGTGTTAAGTTGATAAATAATGGAAATGTTATAAATTTCTTCAAATCATTTATCGTTGGGTAGCAATTACATATGCTTAAATTCAACCTTATCTTTTAATTAGTTTTCGCCATGTGCGGGTTTGAGTAATCTTCGGGAAAACTGGTTTGCCAAAAACCATATTTTTCCACAAAGCTGTAGATGCATTTGGAGCCCTTAGTAAATGTTCTTAAGAACCAAGAAGTCGCTGAAAATACCTCAGGTAACCAGTGCCACTAAAAAACTTACATGAAGATTCTAGGACAAAAAGAACTATATTTTTACTATACTGGATGGACAGTTGTCAAGTTTATCATCAACTTCAGCACGTCTAGCTGTCGGATTTGAAAACTCTTGAATACAAATAAATACGCTTGATTCCGATACACAAACAGACCTTCGAAGTAAACTCCTTCCACACTTCTCGCCTTCTCTTTCTCATTCACGTTTTAAGAGATGAGACGCTCGTGGACTAAGAAGTGGTTAGGAATTCGTCGCAAATAATGAGACTGGTGCAACTTGTAATCATCGACACCGAATGATGTTCTTATCCTCCAGAAATATTTATATTAATGAAGACAAAATTATAATTTGTATCACTATTGATGAGATCATTTCACGTATAGTGAAAACTAGAGCGGCTTATGCCAATCTGAGCCATCTTTGGCGCCTTTGTGATGTCAGTCTGACTGTAAAAGGTCGGATCTACAACGCGTCGGTGAGAGCAGTTTTCCTCTATGCTTGTGAAACCTGGCCTCTCCGAGCTGAGGATGTTAGACGACTCTCTGTGTTTGATTATCGTTGTCTCCGAAGGATTGCTGGCATCCAGTGGCAACACCATGTTAGTAATGCAGACGCTCGGCATCGTGTGTTCGGGCACAACGACGATAATTCAACAACGGCTTCGGTGGCTTGGACATGTTCTACGAATGTCGTCCCAGAGAATGCCACGTCGTTCATTATTTGCCGACTCTGGGACTGGTTGGAAAAGGCGGAGAGGTGGTCAGTGTATGATATGGTGTCGGGGTATGAAGGAAAGCTGTAAGGGGCTGGCTTGTGTTGGTCCTTCACGACTCCCTGGCTGGGTTCCGAGAGATGGTGCGACACAGTGGCTAGAGACGTTATCGGATATGGTTTAGAATAGAAGCCAATGGCAACCCTGATATAAACTTCTTTTACTTTCTTCATTAAAAGTGGTTGTAACTTCCTTAACTGGAAGAATTTTTTCTGGTTGTACCTTTTCGTTTCCCCCATTATCATTATTATTAATAATACACTACCATACACTAATCTGTAGTCGTTGTTTTTCTCTTTTTTCTCTCTTATACGCACCTTACATTCTTTTTCTCTTCCCATTCTCATTGTTATTGTGTGGCGCATATATATCTGGTGCCCCCTTGTACCAATATTTATGTGTTCAAATATATATAAATAAATAACTAAACTATTGAAACCCGATTTTAAAGTTTTTTTGCTAGAATAGCCAACTTCTTCGACTCTCAAACAGTTAAATGATATTTGTACTGTATGGTTTAATTAAATGCAATTACTGGTACTTATCATAGTTTTCTGTAATTTATATAAAGAAGTGGATTGTGTTCCGTGGTTGTAACAATAATAACTTTCGTAATAGTATATATAGTATGTTGTTGAAACACTTCATTCCTTTTGTATTATTACCGCACTTGTGTTTATAGTTACTGAAAGCTGAAATATTATGTTTGCGTTTGTGGAATAAGGTATTTTAAAATATTCTCAGTTTAAGTGATATTCTTGTGGGGGTGAATGATCTCCAGAGATCAGTAATTCAGGACCTGTTCGGCAGTTGGTGTTGACCTTGAAATAAACTAGGTTAAAGTATATGATCAGGCAACGATACAGTTTTGTTAACCACTAGTACACATAACCCGACAAAGATTTTCATTTTTACTCACGATGGTGTTGGTCTACACAAAATATTGTGCTATGTTATATTGGAGGCATTGTTAGACTATCCTGAATTCAGTTGTCTATAAGCTATCAGACATCTTTGCAATGTTTCACATAAACATGGGCACTTATGCCTAATGTAAAACACGAGAAGTAAGAGATATTTCCTAAGGTAGTCAAGAGAGAAAACTACTTAAAATAAAATAACGAGTTTTAGAAATCTTATTTTGACTCGTTTAATCGGCTTTATATTCTTCTGTAAGTTCTAAACGGACAAAAACAAGGGATCTGTTGGTTTTAAGTAAATATACCCGTTGTCCTGTTGTTTACCTTTAATATTTATTCTGTTTGTAGTATCAATGTCTTACAATTTGTCGTTTAGTCAGATGTGACTTAGAATTTGGCACATTTGTACATCAGTTTAAGTTGTCATACCACATCAGAACAGAGAGATGTGAGAGTAGTATATGTAGTACCGGTTTAGTGGCAATAGAAAGGATATTTAACAATGTGAACAAATTGAATACATTATCAAGTAGATTAAAACATGAAAATTTTTATTAGTTTGTTATTTTCTCAACTTTGTAAGTACATATAAACTTCAGTGTTATGTTACTTTGTAATTATTATTTAACTACCAAACCTTTGGCAGCTAAACGCATTTTTGGTTGCCTTTCAGTATACAAAGTGAGTATAATCATAAAAAATATACCTAGTGCTAAAACAAACGGCATCATTATTTGAATAACCGGTGTTAGCTTCGATAAAATTCTTTCTAAAGAATTTTGTGGTAAAACATCTATATAAATTATACCTGACCAATCAGGATAAATATCCGAACCATTGGGAATCGAGTACGCATCACCATGTATGCATATTAAATTATGTAATTCTTTATGATGTGTTTTGTTCAATGATACAGTCTCAGCCACAATAATATTATAAGCTGGATCAATTCTATATCGTCCACGTGTTTCACGTATTAATGTTGTAAAATTGACTTGTTTTAATGTAGTAATTAGATATCGTAATGGTGTTTTATGTTGAATAATAGTAGTGAAATTATATGCAGTTTTAATTAACTTCATTAGCTCATCGAAATTATCTGGTGCATAGAACCAGGTTATTGGTTTTTCTACTGAATCCCTTATTGGACATGTGATTATTAGTGGTTCACCTTCATTTACTTGTATTGCGATTCGTTTAGGAAGACGTGACAGTTTATTGAAAGGTGATTTGAACGATGTAGTAATATTTCTAAAATAAGCAATATATATATATATATATATATATATTAACATAATTTTTACTGTGTGAAGTAGATATTGTAAATAATATGAATTGACTATTGAATCGTTCTAACTCGTAACATAATCTTTCACCCTCTACTAAGTTTTAGTTGAATATATACTAGAAAACTCAAAACAAATATTCCAAAGTAATACCTAATAAATGAAACATACCATAAAGCTAGTTAGTGTGTAGCGAACAGAATCGACGAGAACATACTTCATTTTGTAAATTAAATTAGCAAGAAGAATGTCTTTTTATCAAAGTCTGTTGAATGTTATGTGTAACCTGACAGGAGAAAATAATGAAGAGAGTTTGGGTATGGGTAAAGTATCACTTATTGTAACCTGACAGCTAACATACGTTTAAAACGTTCTACCACTTTCTTAAATAATGATATTCGAATTGTAGAATATACAATCATAGTGTGCATGTTTCTTTGGGATAAGCAGGTTTACATTTATCCGAACTGAGTATTTGTAAAACATGGATTTAAGGTAATTAGAAGATTTTAAATTTTTAAAACATTAACTTTGATTGGTCACCATTAACAGTCCAGTATTAGGAATGACCCTATCCATACATCAAAACATGATTACGATGTAAACAAATAACACTAATTTATTCCGTTACTCCCATAATAAGCTCTTTAGTAGATACTTGATTACATTTATTCAATCATTAAGTTGCTTGCTAGTAAACTTACCGAAAATATATACATATACACTTTAAAGATGGGAACGAGTCCCGATAAAATATGAAAAACACTTGAATCATACATTTATGACAAAATTTTAAATTCAAAACGTATTCAATTCATTTTTGGGAATATAAAGTGGAAACATTTTCCACATTTCTATGATTTAACTAGTACTTCCTGGACTTTACAAAGTATATGGTTATCATCTTACTCATAAAAACACCATCATCCATAGGGTCTTAACTTAGACACTAATGGTACTAAAAGACAAGATACTGATATAATGTGGTGTTGTCCAGAGATATTTGCAATACACTGTTCATAATTCAAAATTCACAGATGAAAAGAGTTGCTCTATAATAACATTTGCCTAAATTCAAAAGAATGGTAAGTGTAGGACATTAGATGGAAAATTATATTTGTAAAAATTTGAGCTCACATAAGAATGTCAAACAAAACATCGGAGTTATTTTGACATCAATCATTGAGATTTTTACAAATATAATTTCTTCTTTAATAATGATTAGTGTGTATCAAAAATTTCACAATCTTGTGTTAATATTTGATTTCCTAATTTAATAATCCTCATACCATTCGCAATTACTTTTAATGGAGTTCCATTTCTTCAGCCGAATGGTTTGATTACAAAGCATCCACTATCTTTTTGTCCAACATCATCATGACTTTATTCAAAAGGATAAGTAAAGTTCCATGAATTAATCATTCTACTTATAGGACGTAACTCCATCAAAATTATCGGCTTCAGCTACGAGTTTTTCTCCGCCATTTTGTCACTATTCTTCCCTTATTCTATGATGTTTTACTTCTACCGTACTGGATATTTCTTATCCTACTTAATTTTGATACCAGTCTTATTATATTAACGGTCGCACTGTTAGCCTTACTACTCATATTTAGGTTCGAATTTGAATACTATGTGTTTTATTAGTTTCGTTGAAGATTTCATTATCAAATTAGTCATCATGTAATTGTGAATTACTGTAGTTATAATAATCAACATATTATTAGTTACAGCAACATTATAAATACTTCTGTTTTGTTTTTGAACCGATTAACATTAGTGTATCAAACCTATTTTATATATACCTCTCAAGTTGTGTTTTAAAAATTGTTGCAACTTTTTAATTCAGCACTATGTAAATGTAGGATTTAATTTTACTTAATAATTTGGTCTAACTACAGAAACCTTGAGAATTATACTCGAGACTTTAAATAAACTTTTGTAAAATACATGACCAACCAGTGAAATCAGTCTCATATTTTAAGTTTTATTTACATTTAAAGCGCACTTACTTAAAACCTGGACATTTCCTTATACATGATCTTATCATCAGTTCACTCGGTCTCAAATTAACTTCTTTTGGTCCGTATTTCACCATAGAACTTCTAATTAAGTGAGAACGGCAAGGCAAACCTGGTCCACTGAATAGTTTTAGAACTTCTTCAGTTTCAACAGCCAACATATGTGGTCTGATTGAGTAAAATCGATCAATGGGTGTGACGTGACAAATACCAATTCTTATTTGCATGCCAATTTGAGTAAACGAAAAGTTTTCTTTTGGGGTGCATGGCACACACTCTGACCATGAATTCCAGTATGTATATAGCTTCAGGTTATTGTTGATCAAATATTGTGTAACTAAGGATCTTAAGTCATCATCACCATTGGATGTATTTCCTGAAATTAGTTCCGGTTTTTCTTGGATAATTTTCAGTTGTGAAAAAAAGTTTCGAAATGGTTCTTCTCCAGGTTTTAAAACAGTTACAGACCATGCTCTAATTACTTCTCCTTTGAAAATACACCTGTAGATTCCTGTGTGCTCAGATTTTGCATTTTTTATGCGGAGGATAGTTTCACTAAGATGGGTACTTGTTTTTATCACGCTTGTCGGTTGACCAGGCTTAGTAACCGTAAAATACAATGATGACAAATTTCGTGCTTTTAAGTTAGCTTCTGTGGTAACTTCTGCTTTCAAGTGACCATCATCATATAGCATAGGAAGAGCACTTAAAAGCAAAGAGATGTTTTGCCAAATTCGTTTACGTAACCTGGCAAAATAAGCAAATTTATAACAGTTGCCTACATCAGTTTGAACAAATAAGAATTGTATGAAATATGTGTGTAGTGTGACACTAGATAGGTTTGAACAAGGTTGTAGAGTTATTAGTTTCTCTTAGTTACAACACGCAGTACCTTCCTAACAACCATAGAATGAAGTTTTAGGATGTTTTGAAACTTGCTATTTGCTTATTAGTATGACGCCAGTATGTTACTCTGTCTTACAAAGTAGTTTGTTTATGAAATAAGACATTTGAAAATGAATTTATCACTGTAAAAATAGTAAGTAATGGTACGTGACATATTCTTATTATTTTGTAGTAACTTCTTTATTCATTGATATACGGAAAAACACACAACGGTGACAGGAAGATGTAGAGGTATCATATCGTTGCTAAGGCTCCCAAAATACAAAAGTATGCTTAAATATTGATGATACGATCTCAGTCAACGTCTAGCACCCTAACTTAAAATCATTGCTAGAAGCAAAGGGTACGCAAATATTTATGCATGCTGGCAAAACACTGGTTCTGACAGTGACTCACAAAACTTTACTGCACGAAATATTATCACGATCAGGTTTGAACCAAAGATTTTTCCGAACCACACGTTACTAATGTGATTTAGCCGTCCACTTTGCAAATAGGATTTTTCAGGAGGTAGTTTTGAGTCACTCATTATGTGTTGGAGCCATCCTCCGAATGGTGTAGTTAATGCTATACAAAACTGGTGTCTCAGCACAAGCTCACAGACGTATATCGATTTTTATCACACTTTACATTTTCACTGAGATCAGCTCACGGTCATAACGGTATGGATTACACAGAACCATTATCATAACTCGCTAGCTCTAGACACATTATCTCTGACCCAGACAACAGTCAAGTTTTACAAGTACTGTGACAGTACTTCCTTACACGGTAGAGCTTAGCAACCCATATAAAATCTTACTCCATCAACTCCTAGACTTGATTATCAGACTGCCTTTATTTCATGTTTGACTTACTTCTGTTTATTGCCCATTCCTTTCAATATTAAATGCACACCTATTTTGTGTGTTTAGCCAGTCGTTGTCACATTTTCTCTCATTTTACTTTGTTACAAATTCTCTAACACACACAATATGCCCCTAGATTGGACACAAACTTACTAATGTCAGGCGTTACGTCACATAATCTCATTAACAACATCCTTGATATTTTATTGGTTCGCTAATTTATATAAAATGCCAATTTACATATTATTTTACAAAAATGAAAACACGTACCGCAACCGAAAATAATTTCACAATTTGTAAGCGAAATAAAAAGTATAAAATAAAGATAACATACCGTAGACGAATACGTTCCAGAGAGGCGGGATATGGTGCTACAAATAAATTAATATTACTGGCATCAAGACCTTGAGTACTAGTTGTTTCCACCCTCTGAACAAACAAACCATTGTTGACAGCGCCAAGCTCGCACGTCTCGCTACCTTCAAAGCATTCGGAACACACATTGCAACTTAACACAAGTCCGTCGCCTACTGAAAGCAAATAGCTCTCGTAAACAGTTTGGTGAAATAAGCCTGAGCAATTAAAATGAACGTTCGAACTTTTGTAAAGTATAGCATAAATGTGCGGTTGAATAAAAATTGATAAAACCAAGATCGTATCAAGCGTTAATAAAAATTCGCGAAACAACATTCTACCTTGTTGTGAGAGCACATTAACATATGATAGCTTTTGGATTGTTGTGATCGTTTCGAAATTCAATCTTCAGTCTCGATGCGGAGGAATAAACAAACAGAACTTTTTTGACCAAGTGGACATGAGATGTTGGAAAATGTTATTTTAAAATTTCTGTTTGAGAGCAAATTTAAGTCTACCATTAGTCGCTACACAATTGTATGACAATAGAATAGAACCTTGAAAGGTGATAGACAATAGCGACAAGTATTGAAAGCTAGATGTACTATCGTGGAGATAGTTAACGTAAACTTATTTCGAAATCGGTTTTTGTTGTCGTTTACTTTTTTCATTATTCCTCTTAATGTATAAGATTGTCATTGTTGGTTTTAAAATCAATGTCAAGAAAACATTAACTCGATCTTTGGTTTTTAGGTCCCATTTAGTGTATATACACAATACGACTCATTGTTTACCTCTCTCAAGTACACTGCTGTACACGTTGACTACTCCAGTTTCTGAATAAACTAATCTATTCAACATTCCCAAGTCACATTTTGAATATGTCACTTAGTGGCTTAATAACCCTGACCGTTCTTATGTAATAGTTTGGGTGCTCATTGTCTATCCTATCCATTATGAGTCTGTGCCTTATTTTTGGTCTGACTACAGATATTGAATAACGCTTGATTAAACTGAGCTGGACCACTCGCCCTCTCCACTCTGAGTCGTTTCGCTCCACTCTCTCCTCTTTCTCCACTTCTTTTCTCTAATTGTCTGTTCAGATCACCGAGTTTACGAAATATACGTGTTCAAACTTTATTCTTGTGTTTGACTTGTGTTATTCCGATAATAACATGAGAGGGTAGTTGAGATGAATATTTCGATGACAATCAGAATACGATGTAACTGAAGTCAGATAAAGAGTCTTTAAATTATACTAACCCTCATAAACACAGTGGTATTATGTTGCTTGAGATGAATCAGCATAAGCTGCTGAAAATGCGTCCCACCTGAGAATTTCAGTGATTCACACCTCACTAAGTGCAAGAAATCTGTAGAAGCAAATAATTTGAGATACTTTTCTTAGATTTTTTGAGAACAACTTCTGGGTTAGAGGTTTCAGGTCGAAAAACCACATAAGACATAATGAATTATTGTTAAGCGTGAGTTGATTAAATATTAAATCACCTTAATCTACCACAGGACTAAGAAGATAGGTTTATCAACACTTGACAGCTCAGACATATCTTTTGCAATGTTAGGCAATATCGTTTGAGCACGTTTAAACTTAGGTTTCTATATTTGGACCGAAGACTCTCTTCTTGACTCCTCCATTATGAGAGTAATCTAACATATGCATAATTATTTCGAACCAAACGAGTCCCTAAAATAAATGGCTTTTGCAATTAATGGACTTTGATTCTGACTACGTCAATTTTACGGAACGCTAGCTGTAGGCTTTAGGTCAAGCATCGCTGCTAGATTGTCTCTCAATCTATTAAGGCTTTTACTAAGTCAAGACAGATGTGTCAAAAAACGAGTGTCAGATTATAAAATGAGCCTAAGGGACATTTTTTGTCTAAGCATCTAGGATTTCTGATAGCCTAAACAAGAACGTTTCTATCTTCTCACAGCCTTGTTACAACCAGGTCAACAAAATCGTTCTGTAATGAGCTTAATGGTTGCTCGGATATCTGGATGTGAAGATTTCCGATGTTTGAAGGCATTGCGACGAAATAGTTTTGGCCCGAATAGCCAATTCCTGCCTGTAGATGTATCATTAAGTTAAATTTCCTTCCCTGTCCCACTTGTCTGATTCATAGTTGCAGGGCTGCCGAAGATAACTCGTATTGGAAATCAGTCTCTTCTTTTTAAAACTGGGTGGTTTTAAGATTATCAATACCTTGGAAACCGTTCAAGGATGCTAAGCAAGAGAAGACGTTTGTAACTACATTGTTCACCACGGAAATATTTTGCATATCTGAAGCAAACTGGGAAATGTGGTCGAGTGCTTTTCTAAGGATGAGCTTGGGCAAAAGGCGGGAGATTTACGGTCGATAAACGAAGTGAGTTCTCGAACGTCCACAGTGTCGAAAGTACCGTACATCTAAATACATGGACAGCAGTTCCCTGCCGAAAGTGTTACAACACGATTCACTGTCTTGCAACCATATGGAGAAGAGTGTCAAGGGTTATCAGTTGTTATCCGCCCGTTGTTGTTAGAGTTCTCCGATTCTATAACCGGAATTGTCTATGGAGACATAAATGTGTGCTTCAATATCCTGCCGTGTGATTGTAGTTGATTTCGAGACACTTCCTTCAAATAAAGAGAATGCTTTCATTCGTTGTCGCCTGAGCCTGCGAGTTTCACATTTCCACGTATTTGTCTGTTTAGGGTCTCTGAAGAGACACTCAATTCGGTGTGGATCGTTGATAGACACTTACCAGGCCACTAAAAAAGCGCAATTACCTGACTGCGATTGGTTGGGTGTAATCCAGAATGACTTCCGCGCTATTGTGCAGAGAGATAGTACCTTGAGTATCGGTAGTCTGTCCGAGAAAATCCATGAAATTGGTTCCAATCTCACAAATTTGTATGTCTTTAATAATTCCGTTTTCTGTTGATGTTGGTAAACAAGGTTTAGATGTAGGAGATGGGAATCTGTGTGTACAAGTGGATAGATTGAAGACCGCTAAACACGTCATTATCAAATCGTTTTAAATTTTTTCCAAGCATTTCTCAAGTCAAAATGGTACCTAAAAGTACAGAGTTTCGAGAAAGTGACTATAGCTGTTTTATAAGTGTCTTTCGTAGCTATAGTTAATTGGATGTACTATTTGGCCAAGTCAATTTTTGAAAATGCAGAAGGTACGGCGATATGTAGCGATAGTGACTGTTCATATTTAATCGTCTTCAACAATGACTTGGCTTCAAACATTGGTATTCTATTTACGGGATATATGCAGCGGAAAAGCATATAGGCTGACTGATGCCAGCTTATTTCCATATTCCTTATTTGATCTAGTAAGTTTTCTACCAGTTTTAGCTTTTCTAGTAATATCGGTTGTCGTTCGTATGGCTTGAGATGATTATCGAGCACCAGTTGTAAGTATGGATTAGTTTTAAGTTAAAGTGTGCCTGGACATTACCTCGTATAATTATAATCCAGTTCGGTATTCGTATTATTATAATAAGAAATTTAATCCATAAGTTGTAGATTTGTCTTGATGTGACTACCTAATTCATGTGATCTTTGGTGGCAGTTACATCATTATCTTTACTGGCTCGTCCTATCATGATGTCAAGCGCTATACATTGAAGATGCCACAGGTATTCGGAGTTTGACAACGCTTTAACCAGTAACACCTTCTAATACGAAGCGCACCCACCAAGTAAAATCAAAAGACAGAAGCGAGGAGATCGAAGATATATTTGATAAGCTATCAATATATCGAGGATCGTTTGCACTAATCTGGCTAGCGATTGAGGCAGATGTTGAGCACGGCGTTCCCACACGTGATCTGGTGCGGATGCTTGACCGAGCGCCTTCAGCTAGATGAGTCCACTAAAACTGTGGTCAGCATCCAATGTCGAAAACTTACAGAGCTATTTGATTTTGGGGAATTATTTACCGCTACAGATCACTCCCCCCCTAGTGGGGTAGTGATGACCTCAAGACGTGGCCAGCCAGAAGTTTTAACCCAACGAGATTTTCGTTGGTAAACACTCTTCTGATAGCTTGCTAGGTTTAGCAGCGTCTGGTTGTCTTTCCTTACTATAATGGACCATGATGTACAATATAGTAAAAAAAGGTACAATGCAGATTTTCGTTTCTCGCAACTTCATCGCTCTTTTCATCGTCTTTTCCAGTCGTCCTGGAAAATAAAAGAAAAATATGTAAGTGCATGTCGGAAAACACTCGTACGCGCGTGAAAACACAAAACGGGCGAAGAAAAAGGAAAACAAACTCATGCTCACGTAGTAGCGTAAAATAAGGTTTTTATAATATCGTTATTTTTTTGTTTTTTTCTTTTTTGAAATAAAAAAAATAATAATATATAAGCATATTAAATTCAGGTTTTTTTTAAAAAAAATTTTATATAGTACCAGGGAAAATCGAGGGGATATAAAATGTTAACTTGTGTCTTACGTGCAGTAATCGTTCAAGTGTTCTGGAAATCTTACTCTTCTTCCAGAACGCGTTGTTTTGAGTTTATTTTCGGATATTGTCGCAGTATCAACGTGTGTGTCTGCTGTCGATTTAGGCATTATAAGCGCAGGAGTTGTGTCGTGCGATTGTATTGAAGGAAAATCGACGTGAATAGGATTTCCTTCTATATACGCTGCTTTGAGGCGATCGATACTGATGCTTTCGTTGGTTCCGTTCTTATCTATTATATAGTACTTAGATTCGCGTTGAAGAACTTTGAAAGGTCCTTCATATGTTGATTCGAGAGGTCGTCGATGCGAGTCTCGACGCACGAAAACGTGTGTACTATGTAGTAAGTCAGGTTGAACGAAAACATCAGTTGATTGTGGTCGAGTGGAAACAGGTTTAACTGAACGCATTGCGTTTGTAAGCCTGTTCGCGTAGGAGGTTAGATCCATGTCCATCGAAGAGGATGAAGGATCTACGAACTCTCCTGGAAGTCGAAGGGTCGTACCATAAACGAGTTGAGATGCAGTGTATCCAATGTCAGATTTCACTGCATTGCGTATGCCTAGTAAGACGAGTGGAAGAGCGTCAGTCCACTGAGAAATGTTTGAGGCTGATAGTGACGCTTTTAGTTGTCGGTGAAAACGTTCTGCTAACCCGTTTGCTTGTGGGTGGTAGGCCGTCGTTCGAAAGCGAGTGATTCCTAGTTTCATGGTCAGACAACGGAACAGTTCAGATTCAAACTGACGTCCACGATCTGTAGTAATGGTTGTTGGGCAGCCGAAGTTTGCTACCCACCTCTCGACGAAAGCGCGAGCCACTGTTTCAGCAGTAATATCTCTGATGGGTACTGCTTCT